TTTTCCTTACTAATTCTTCCTAGCTAGCCAGTGGACCACAAGGCAGTCAACTTTCAAAAACGAATCTTAACCACCGATCTTGAGCAATAAAATACGGATTAGGCGTTCATTTGGATGATGGTAGTGAGATTGATTTTGATGAGATTAAAAATAATAATAATTATTATTATATTTGTAATTAAAAAAAAGTTATTAAAAAAAATTTCATAAAAAAATTTACATTGAATAAATTTTACCAAAATTAACATTTAGATTCAACTAATGATGTGATAAATTCAATTACATCACACTAAAGATGCAATGAAATCCAAACTCAATGTGATGAGAGAGATTAGCATTGGCAACTGGCAATACCAATTAAAATATATAAAAGATTGGCATTGGCATTGGCAATTGGCAATACCAATTAAAATATGTAAGCAAGTTAATGACATGCCTTAATAATGGAAAAACAAGTGGTACCTTACTGATCTACCTCCCTTCTAAAACTACCCCTCCATTTTATTAAAGTACTATAAAAAAATGCTTCTTGTAACGCTCATTATTCTGTAACTCTCCTGTCTTGTAATGAATGAAAAATGACTTATAAAGTCTAATAGGATTCCCTTCATTGTTTCTTACTATTACTCTCCAAAGTCCAAACACCAACAGAGAGAAAATATATGGGAGGCGGTGAACTCTGTTGAATATCAATGGAGATTGGGTTATGGGCAAGGCTGGTAAGGTCATGGAGGAAGATGGAGATGGGTGTCAATGATGCAGTTTCTAAGAGCATGGTTGGCAAGTACTTCAAGCTAGAAGCAAGGAAGAGTTGCTTCACAAAGGAACTACGAGCTGGTACAGCTACTTTCCTCACCATGGCTTATATCATTACTGTTAATGCTACCATCATTGCTGATTCCGGTGGTACGTGCTCGGTGGCCGATTGCTCGGCTCCAGTGAACCAAACTGCTTCCCCGGATTGCATGTTCAAGCCTAATGCAGGTTATGAAAACTGTCTTTCGAAAACTAAGAGTGATCTTGTTGTAGCCACTGTTTTATCGGCCATGATTGGGTCGTTTGCTATGGGGATTGTAGCCAACTTACCTTTGGGCTTGGCTCCTGGTATGGGTCCTAATGCCTACTTGGCCTATAACTTAGTGGGGTTTCATGGATCTGGATCTATGTCATACCAAACTGCGTTAGCAGTGGTGTTGGTTGAGGGCTGTGCTTTTCTTGCAATAGCTGCTTTAGGGCTTCGAGCAAAACTTGCTAGGCTCATACCTCAGCCAGTCCGGCTTGCTTGTGCAGCTGGAATTGGGCTGTTCATTGCATTCGTGGGCTTACAAATCCACCAAGGTTTAGGCCTCGTAGGACCTGATGCATCCACATTGTTGACTGTCACTGCCTGTGCCAGCACAGATCCTGTTACAGGTGCCTGCCTTGGGGGCAAAATGAGGAGCCCAACATTCTGGTTGGGCATGGTGGGGTTTCTAATCACTTGTTATGGGTTAATGAAGGAGATCAAAGGCAGCATGATATATGGCATTCTATTTGTTACGTTAATTTCTTGGATTAGGGGCACTGCTGTTACATATTTTCCTGATACTCCACTTGGTAACACAAATTACAATTATTTCAAGAAAGTGGTAGATTTCCACAAAATCCAGTCCACAGCTGGAGCTATCAGCTTCAGCAATTTCAATAGGAGTGAGGTTTGGGTGGCCTTGGCAACATTGCTATACGTTGATGTGCTTGCCACAACCGGCACCTTATACACAATGGCAGAAATTGGAGGTTTTGTGGATGATAAAGGCAGCTTTGAAGGAGAATACTTAGCATACATAGTTGATTCTAGCTCCACAATCATGGGATCGGCGTTAGGAGTTTCTCCGGTGGCCACCTACGTCGAATCATCGGCCGGTCTAAAAGAAGGGGGTCGAACAGGATTAACAGCTGTGGTGATAGCTATGTATTTCTTCCTTTCATTGTTTTTCACTCCGTTGTTGACCAGTGTACCACCATGGGCAATTGGTCCTTCCCTAGTAATGGTTGGAGTGATGATGATGAAAGTGGTAAAAGACATTAACTGGGGAAATATGAAAGAAGCAGCACCTGCTTTTGTCACCATGTTGCTCATGCCACTAACTTACTCCATAGCAAATGGAATTATTGCTGGCATTGGGCTTCATATTGCTCTTAGTTTATATGATTTAGCATTAGAATCCATCAAGTGGTTGAACAGGATGAGGAAAATGGTGGTGAGAGAGCAAAATCAAGTATCAGCTGCTACAACAACTGGGCCAGAGTCCACGGTTGAAATCATTTGAATGGTAGAAAAACTAGTCAGAGTTTTAATTACAGGGCTGCAATTTTCCTGTAAAAAATATGTGGGGAAACAAGAATTAGTAACTCCAATCCGTTAGTGCCCCTATTATTAATTTTTTCCCGGAAAATTGTTGTCTCAATATCTAAAATAGTTGTAATTGTAGTAGAACTTTTTACTGTTTTGCTATGTATTGATGGTGATAGAATTAATTTTTCATCTACCTACGTGGTTTGCCATTTTTTTTTCTTTGAGATAAGACGTTTTTATTTTTTTTTACAAAGAGGATTGTACTATGGGATAAAGAAATATATTGTAATTATTATGATTTAAAATTTAGATTTATTAAATATTATTTTTTAAAAATAATTATATAAATTAATTAAATTAAATTTTAAATTCATAAAATATTTTTGTTTATGCTATTATGGTACTCAATAAAAAAAAAGATAATTTTTTTAATTACCATTCAATCTTTTGAAAAACACTTTTAAAATAAAATTTTGAATATATTATGTTACGAAAAGAATACATTCTTAATATATATATATATATATATATATATATAGCCACACACACTTACATTCTTAAAATCGTTTCCAACCAAACCCTAAAGATTCAACTAACCAGCTAACCCTACTAAAAAAATTTAAAAACACAAGAAGAATGAGAAGGAAAAGTTAAACGACATTTTGAAATTCCAATTTTTTTAGTCTTCACAATAACTTGTCATGCTGAACAACATGTTTTGGAACTTATTTTGAATCTAAAAGCAGTACAAAACGTGAAACAAACCATTTCAATCGGTTTGGTTAATTTTAAATTAAATTAATAAAATTATATTATATTATTTGTATTAATTAAATCAAATTTATGAATTTTAAAAATTAATTGATCAAATTTAACTCAATTGGTGTGATTAATTTTTTTAGTTAATTAAATAATAAATACATTTAAATTAAATTAAATTTTAAACTCTTAATTTCTTATATTTTAAATAAATTAAATAAAATTACTTAATAAAATATTAAAATATAAAACTATTATGTTGAAAACTTTAACAACTTATAAAATTAAATTATTCATGTCATATATTTTTTTATTTTTATTTGGATTATACTATTTCGATTAATTCAATTTTCAAATTGAATTAACCAAAAATCAAATTTTTTTTAAAATTATTTTTGTTAATCAATTGAAATTAATTAGACGATCGATCAATTAATCAAATTAAATCGATTCTATTAATTAATTCAATTAAAACTAAATTATGAATATACCTAATTAATTTCTAAAACTATTACACATGCTTGGACATTTAAGAACACCTAGAAGCTTATGAAAATTACAAGAACATAAAGACTAAAACCAGTTGAATATTGTTGCAAAGCCCAATGCACCGTCGTTTCTTTTGATTTTTATGGCAAAATACATGTCATCCCTTACAAAATCATTTAGCATTTTTGAAAAAGGATTCTGCTCTTAAAGCTCACATTTTTCATACAAGCTGCCGAGTCTGATCTTTACCACTGATCCATTTTTCATGAAATAACCATGTTAATTATTTTATTTTATTAGGACTAACCTTTTATGAATGGTAGTTGTAGTTGATAGCCATAAAATCTTGAATAATGACCCACAAAAGGTGAGGATTGCTGTTTGATTCCACCATTTTTTTTTTTTTTGTAAAAAGTTTAGGTGGGGAAAGATACTTACTCTAGATTTAAGACATTCAGTAAATTTTAGTAAAGATTTATTTTAAATTTACAAATTATCGATAAAAAAAGATTGTTGATAACTGAAATCAAATTTAAATTTTATAAATAAATTTGTTTAAGGGTTGAATTATCTATTCAAATTTGAAAATTTATCTGAATTTTAAGAAAATTTAGACAAAAAAATTAAAATTTGATTAAAAGGTTTAAATATAATTTTTATACTCATTTAAATTTTGAGTTGACTCATAGACAAATAAATTAAAACTCGAGCTTAACACAAATAAAACTATATATAATTAAAATATTATAATTATATAAGTATATATAATTTTTAAAAGATTTTTTAAAATTTTATTATATAAATTAAATTTAATAGATGAATTTATAATTTATTTTTTTAATTTGAATTGAATTCAAAAAAATTTGTAGATATGAAATATCAACTGAATCAAATTTGAATAAATATATAAACTATTAATATTAAGTATGAATTCAACCTGAACCCAACCCATGAATGCTTTTACTCACAAACAAAGTATTTGATTTTTATTAATTTAACCAACTCTTGTTAACCTTATTCCAACATCTTTAATATTTTGAAATTAAATTCTAAACTTGTATATCGAGTATCAGCATTTGATTATTATAATTTAATTTTATTGAAATTTTATCATAGTAATTTTAATTTTATTAATTTTGTTTATTTTTATTAATTTTTTAGTAATTTTAATTTCAAATAAAAATGAAAGTTTGATAATAAAATTCATTAAATTTGAATTACAGTTAGCAAAATTAAATATTAATCCACGATATAATAAATTTAATTTTAAATTTTTATATATTTTTGAGAAAAAAATAGAAAGAGCTAAACTTAAGGATATTAAAGTTGGATCCGGCAGCCAAATTGGCCCAATAGTCCAACAGGCCATTATAAATAAGTTTGACTAAGAAACGGAGTCTAGACGGCAGACGCAGGAGCCAACAAAGAAGCACCTACCGCATTTCCACCGCCCTAATTGCTCAAAAACACGGTCAAAACAAAATCAAAAGAAAACACAAATCGTCTGACCAATTCTTCATTACCCTTTCTTGTTTTTCTTCTTTTAAAGAGTGTTTGATGGATATTTGGTTACCAGAAGACCTTGCTGTCCTTCTCATCTGCGTCTGCTTCACTCTATAGACCTTTCTTTTGTTCAACAAACTTTTCTACTTGATATAATATTGAAAAAAAGAAAAAACAACCCAGAGTTTTAAATTCTACTTTTATTGTTGATAGTAGGTTAAATTTGATTTAAAATTTAAAGGGAAGGGGAATAATGGATTATTTTGAGCTTTCTGCAAGCTCCTCTTACCAAGATTACCTTAAGGTTCTTGAAGCTGACATTCAACATGCCAATGTGTTGTGAGTTCACTCTCTTTTTCTTCTTCTATTTTTTTTTTTATGTAACTTGGACTTGCTTGAAGTTGAATGGTACTTCAAATTTGATGGGATTCTTTGGACTTCAGTTTTGATCATGTTTGATGGGTTTTCTGTCTGTTACCATTAAACAATGTAAACAAGATTGAAGTTTTGTTTTGGTCAAGTGGTGAAAAGGCCTCTTTTGAGCTTCAGTTTAAGAGTTATTTGATGTTTTCTACTATAAGAATATGAACAATGGTTGACAGATTCAAGTAAAAAAGTTTTCCCAACCAAAATATTTAATTGGATGTCAAGTGTTAACAGAGTTTCAGGGATCAAGCTGTCATTTTTAGAAAATCTGTAACTTTTGCATTATCATCTCCTTTGCTTTTGTGCTGTAATGATTCATATTCAATTCTACTCCTTTTTCTGTTTTTTATTACTATTTTTTTATAATTTTGTTTTTTACATTGGTGTTAGAGCGGCTTCTATTCCAAGAGCTAAGGGAGATGGATGTCTTCAAATGAAACTTGTTTACAATCACCTGGCACCCATTTTCTTGTTTTTTCTTCAATGGTTGGATTGCTCATGTTCATGTCTACTTTCAAGTTATGTAAACCTATTTCACATTGTTGTTTATCAGGTCAGTTAACTTACACTCACTTATTTATGAATTTCTTCTGTGAATTTAATGATTTTTGCTCATTTTCCTCTTATTGAAATTTTCATTTAGAAAATGAAATCAACCAATTATAGTTAATGAAGCTTCCTTGCTTGTTGATTTATATTTTTAGGTATGCTCAGATGGCAGGCCAAGTATTTCTTCATGTAGAAGGAAAGCGACCATAAGGGAGTTCTATTGTATGTGAAGTGAACTACCATCTCTCTCATGTTTTTTTGTTCGTAATTAACACCATATTTGTTGATTTAAGTGTAGAAAAGAAGCGAAAGAAATAGAAAAAGAAAAAATTTAAGTAATATCTTATTTCTTTGGTTTTTCACTTCTCTGTTCCCTTGACTATCCAAACAAGAGAAATCATTGAATTCTTCTCATTTCTCAATCCAAATAAACCAGTATATGCTAATAGTCTCCTTGTAAAGTATTACTTCTTCATCATGCACGAGCACAACATTGTAGCAAGTCTCTTTTGCTCTATATTCTTATTTCAGGAGTCCTAAAATTGAGTTTATATACATTAATCTAGTCTAGACCACAAGCAAATCCTCTTGGAAGCCCGAACCATTTATTTTAAAAGATTGAAGTGTCTTCTTTAGAATTTATGTTTTCAATTTGGAATAGAACAGGAGAGCATTCATCTTATCAGAATTCATAGTTATTGATGTAAAATTGCAGCTGTTATATTACCATCTCTTCAGCATCTTCATGGTGATCTCTCAGAGCTTGATGCAACGTCAGAGGAAGATTACTGCTTTGAGATGGTTGTCAAGAAGAAAGTAGACGATAAGAGGAAAGCATCAGATACGGAGTTGGAGAGAGAAGATGAATGTGGAATCTGTCTGGAGCCATGCAACAAAATAGTTTTGCCAAATTGCTGCCATGCAATGTGTATCAATTGCTATCGTGACTGGTATGTAACGTCTAATTTTTTCTGCTTTTGGACTTTGTCCTTGGTTTATATACAGTAGTTGAGAAAATCCTTATCCTTAACATCTGAACCACTGTCTTGCATTGTTTTTCCTTACCTTTCAGGAGTTTAAAATCAGAATCATGTCCATTTTGTCGGGGAAGTCTAAAAAGAGTAACCTCCGGGGACTTGTGGGTTCTTACATGCTGTAACGATGTGGTTGAAACCCAAACTGTGGTAAAGGAGGATATATTGCGCTTCCATTTGTATATAAACCGGCTGCCTAAGGATTTGCCGGATGCCTTGTTCTTAATGTATTACGAGTATTTAATCTAATCTACCAGGAGAGAATTCTGATGTACAGAAAAGAAATTGCCAAATGCTGGATGTGCATATATTCCTGTGAGACTTTACCATCGAGAATTTCAGTGCCACTATGTTTTTTGCAAAATAATGTATATGATCATGTAAGATCCACAATTATCAATATATTAGCTAACTCGGTGATATTCCCAGCCTTAAACACTTAATTGGAAAATTGTTGGTGGCTTGTTATCATTTTTAAGCCTGAGTTTCCATTAATAGTTGACTTCTTGCTTATGAGCATTTAGACTTAGGAGAGGTTCAAGCTTTTCTGCACTTATTTCAGTAGAATTATTAAAGTACAAGCTTCTGCATATGCCAGTTTATTGTAGCTTTGTTGTTTCGTTTACAATTTTCAACTGTGAAAAGAAAATAATTTCCTTCCACCTTTTGACGTTAGCCATCAAGCTTGATTATAAACATGTGGTCTATCCCATGCCACAGCTTGGAAAGTGCAGAAAGGGCCACTTGTTTTGTTCTATTATTAATGCTTGAATCTTAAGACATGGCCACTGCTAAAGCATATCAGTTTGGGGTTGGGTTTCATCTTGTTATTGTTCAGTAAGCTCCTGGGAGGTTATTACTTCTTAGAACTTCCACATTCTTGCTTTTAATTCATTAGTTGCTTCATGTCCTTCAGCTCCAAATTTGCTGCTTATTTGCCAAGTTTTCTAACTCTTAAGAACTTCTCTCATGAGCCCCCTGTATCAAATCCATAATTGACTGTGGAAGTCATTGCCTCGAGCAATTAAACCATTCAATCGATGCCATTGAAGCAATAACCAGCTGCTTCATAAAGAATCAACCAGTTAAGAATATGCTTATGAGAGCCAGAGGGACTTTTAAATTCTTCCTGTTGTAAAGAATTTTGCAGAACTAATTCATTTCCTCAATGTAGAATGAAAAACGTACATATATGTAGCAGCTGTAGCAAAATGTACAGATTTATGCAAGGGCTCTTAAATGTAGTAGTAACTGGGAAAGTTAATGTCACATGCTGCAAGCTGGTCGCAGCTCCAAATTTAAGGAGGATTAAGAAACTAGCATTGCTTGAATGTGACCCAGCTCTGTGTATTTTGAAATGCAAAGGAGCATGGAAATTGGTGCAGGAAATAACTGCCAGGAATACACCCACAATTAAGGATCTTCTTTAATATACTTCATACAACTAGCAGTTCCTTAATGGTTAATAGAAAAGTGACTTGATCAAAACTCTACTTGTAGTATTATGATTTATTACCAAACTTTACTTTTGCTTCATAATAGGCGGCTGCAAGCTGCTAGCGGGTCACTTGGCTGCATATCCAATCACTTTAGAGCCAATTTAATGGCAAATTGCCCGTGTCTCTCTTTTTTCTGGTGATGTTTAGGTAAATTAAAGGCAATTTTATTGGGTAGGAACAAGAAAAGAAGCAAAAGGTTTTATTGTTCTATCTGATTTTTTATTTAACATGCTAAGTCTGTTCCTGGTATCAATGTATTTGGTTCAGTGAGAATCAGGAAATATGCAGCTTCTGTTACAACACATTACAAACCCATTAAGAACCAGTTCTTCATGATTCTGGCTGATTATAGAAAGGGGAAAATGTCAGTGAAAATACCACAATTGGCCATTGCTAATGAAATCCAGAAGCATTGTTGATGCTAAGTTTCTGCTTAGATAGTTTAACAGATGTGAAGCATGTACATTCATTCTACCGAGACATGCAATTGGCTTTCTGTGATTAAAACACCAGCACATTATTGTTATAGCCACTCTGAACAAGTTTTGCTTGAATGAAAACCTTAAAAAAGTTTCATATTATGTTTTGAATGGCCACTGCACGGTTTCCAAAAATTGCAGTCCAATTCATTGTTTCTGTCTGTATTTTCAGACAAAGCATTATATATATTTCACCCTCATTTCCATTAAATTGTCACTGAAAGAGTTGGACTCCGGGAAAATTTGCTGAGCTTATTTGAAGTTTTATGCTTCAATCAGATCAGGATTCTACATTTCTTTTATGTTTTAGTCATTCTATGCCTTGAAAATTAAGATTTAAGCATGCCGACTTTACTTATGTTGGGCTAAAAGCCTCTAATCCAATTACATCAGCGGAAGCGAAATCAAACAATAAATCAAACACACAAGAGATAACAATTTAACGTAGTTCGATCCAACTGACCTACATCCACGGATGAGAAAAAAGATCCACTAGTTGTAGAGAATTACAAACATACATCATATCATCAACCTCACTCAAACAATCAATACTCATAAGACACTCTCAATCTCCTCTAGTCCTATAAAATATTCTCAACTCAAACAAACACAAACCCAAACCCTTGTGCACTCTTTCAACATAACCAAACACATACCCATATGCTCCCATATAACATACCTATGTGGACCCTCTCAATCTCCTCTAGTCCACTCACAAACAAGCATACACACCCATAAGACGTAGAGCCCCAAACCCTTGTGCACTCTTTCAACATAACCAAACACATACCCATATGCTCCCATATACCATACCTATGTGGACCCTCTCAATCTCCTCTAGTCCACTCACAAACAAGCATACACACCCATAAGACGTAGAGCCCCAATACTCCTATGGGGTGTCTATACCACAAACCCTACAACTCTCTTACATCTTTTTCTCATACCTAACCCTGTAGAGACTTCACCTATTTATAACCATACAAACTTGCCCATTAAGAATCCCTCTCCTCTTAGAATTCTTCCCTGATCTTCCAATGTTAAAGGTATCCGATTTCCTACATTTTATGTCAATCCTCAATTTTCTTTTGATTCTCCACTTCTGATACAAACTTAAGTTTCCTAGTTATAATCCAACAGAGATCATATTGTAATCCCCAGATATGCATTGATAAATAAATATCAGACAAAGTTTCTAGTATCGCAAATGTTAAAAGAGATCTCAAGAAAATGCTTCTGGCTGAGAATTAATCTCACAAGTCACAAGTGAAGTGTAAATGTATAATCAACAAGAAGTAGTATCAGGCAATTCCAAAGACAAAAGAGTTTGGTGCCCTCATGGCTTCTGCTGTTTTCTTTGCAGCACGGATTTGAATGGAGGATTACTGAGATTACCATCCAGAAACATGTCAGCAACCACCTTATACATAGCTTCAGTGAGGTGCACTCCATCCCAGTTGATGTATTGAGAAGGATTTAAGCAGGCAGTGACAGAAGGACTGCCGCATGTATTAAACACATCAAAGTTGTAAGGATCACCTGTTCCACAACATGCCTTGAAGCTCTCTTTGAATCCATATTTCTCTGGATTCTTCATGACCGTTCGATGAGCATTCCAATAATCAGCATAAACAATGACGGCTTGGGGAAACCGCTTCCTGAGATCCGACAACTTAGTTTGGAGCACAAGATTGTGGGCGTAGCTTTGGTTGTTCACGCTCTTCACACACCCAATACCATCTCTGTCCTCCGAAGAAGCCAGTGTCATGGGCAATGGTAAGCATCCTGTCGTAGGCAGAGATTGGACAACAACATATTTTGCACCCTTCTTCAGCAATGACTGCAAAATCATTGGAACGAAGTCAGTATCAGATTTAATGTTGAAGATCAAAATGCTTAAATCTTTACCTATAAAAAGAAATGAAGCCAAAAGCTACTTATTGGTTACCTGCAAAAACTCAGTGAAACTATATATAGCAAGTTTCCGAATAGTGTCATCCGATACAGTTGATCCAAGAGTATAGGCATAGTCATTGAGACCAATTTCACCAACCCAAAATAAAGCATCATCAAATGATGCTTTGCACTCAGGCCTTGATTCAGGCCCTTTACAACCTTGACTCTCCAAGTACTCGTCAAACCAAATCATTTGAGTTTGGATTGATTCAAGGGTGATATCAAGAGAAAGGTTGTTCTTAACAAAGAAAGCATGATTTATTGCTGTTGAGCCTGCTACAGCAAAGTTCACCCCATAAGTAGTGTTGCCTTTGCTCTTACGGTAAGGTGGCAAGAAAGGCAAAAACAATGATTGAGCCACAAAATCAATGACTAACCGTCCATCGGAGTAACGGTTGGTGGGGTGATGAAAGAAGGTGGTGCCATAGGGAGGGTTGGAAACATGAACAAAGCCATTGGGACCACTAAGGGAGTCCGTGTTACCTGTGTCAGTGAAAGAGTCGCCAAAGGCATAGATCTTCTTAAAGGGTCGTTGGTTCGTCTCTGCTATGGCAAAAGCAGAAGCAGAAGGCATAGAAAAAGATAGAAGGATGATCATGGTGACTGTCATGAGTATGTTATGCAAAGAAGAATGTGTTGAAAAAAGGGTAGCCATTGTTTACAGGTTTAGTCTTGTGCTTTGAGACTTTGATATATATTCCAATATTTATTCAATGACATTGCAGAGTGGCCATGCATTTTCTGATATCCTCATGCTGTATAATTCAGTTAAATTTTTCTATTGCATTTAATATAAACTCAAGATGTAGCTTGGAAATTTGAATGAACCAATAAGTGTGACTTTCATAATGATTTTTTTTTTTTATGCTTCATTAAATGAGAAGGGATTTTCGCTGTATCACGTCATTTAGCACTGGATTTATGCCCCTATGGTTTTATTAGTTAAAGGACAACTGATAGGTGACTGGTGCAAGTATTAAATTGAAGAGGTGAAAGATCTTATATGGTAGTTGAAGCGAAAATTAGTTGGGGCTTCAAATGTGAAAGGAAAGCAATCACCAGTTTCTTCGCTGACTTCAACATGGGAAAGATGAAATAATTTACCATTCTTGTTGGACTACATAAATTGTAGCATTGTCCCTCAAGTGGGATTCAAATAAAAATATAGTCCTTTATAATTTGAAAACTTGTAATTTTTTTTTTAAGTTTCAATTTATATAAATAAATTTCGTCAACTTAATCGTTTCTTAAACAAATTAATTTATCATTCAATAAATATACATTATCTAACAAATAATAAATCAATGTTTTGTTTTTTTGAGATATCCAAAATTCAATTTTTAATTTTTTTAATAAAAATTTCATATATTTAAATTCGAAATTTAATAAATTATGGCAAGATTGAAATTATAGTAGAATTTATTGGGGTTGCCCCCTCTCCCCATCTGACTATGCAACAAATCTATTTGCAGTATTTTAGTGTGGATCCTTCATTAATATTACAACAACTCTAGATATGGTTGGTGTGAATTGATTGTAAAATATGATCTGTAGTCAATCTCCACAGCATGGATGCAGCTTGCAAAAAGATGGTGTTCCATCTAACATTAACAGGGGGACGTCCGCACATACCAACATTCACTTTTCATTAAATTGCTTTGGTTAGGACTTGGTACACCTCTTTGTGCGCAAATGTGTAAATATAATACTTACGATGCATGGTAAATTGAGTAAAATCTTATAGTCTAGTCATAGTCATAATTAATGTCATGTCATAACTAATAATTGCACGATCTATTTTCTTTTATAAAAAATTTATATTTAATATATGTTTTGTAAAATTAGATGATATATTCGAGATAAGTTTATAAATGATTGAATAAAAATTTGTAAATTTCATTGTTGAATAAAAATTTATATACGAGACAAGCTTCACAAGAACCATGTCTATTTAACTATTTCTCTAATGATCGTTGGGGAAGTTCTATTTTGATAACAATGGGTTGATAAGTAGGAGAGATGGAGACCGTTGCCAAGATTTGGAGAGTGGGATGTAAACAACCCAGCCACGGCTGAAGGATTTACAGTCGTATTAATTCAAAAAGTCTAGACATGAGAAGAAAACCAGAGTCACTGCCGCCAAAATTATGTATCCACCAACCACTGAAATAGTTGAAGGTGTAACCTGCCCTTGCCCCTCTTCTAAAGCTATATGCATTTTTATTATCAAACTCTGATCTAATCCTAGAGAGTGATTTTTCCCCTTTTATTTTTTTTGTCCTTTGGGTGGTTTTTGTTTATACTTGTTATTTGACCTTTTTTTTTGTTGTTGTTGTTTTTATGTTTCTTCAGTTCCCAGAACCTACAAAAATGTTGGGTGGAATGGAATGGTCCTTTGTACTGTTCTATGACCATGATGACAACCATAAATCAAATCAACTGAACTAAGTCCGAGTTCAAGGTAGAAGTATAAGATATCCCAATTTTCGCTTGTATTAGTTCGTAATATGACATGAAACTGAGATAATTTACATATCCTGATTTCGATTTCAGCTTGTAACACTAGCAACACAAACACATCATATGTATAATATATATAATGCCATCATCTAAAAAGCTTGTGGCAACGGAACGAGGGAAAAAAAAACTTGAAAAGACTTCCAATTTAAAAAGGAAAATTTAGAATCCTTGCTAATGTGAGATCTAAGAGCTAGGGGATAAAAAACCTTTTTACACATAGTGCTGGACTGCTGTATCAGTGCCATCAGTTTCGGCAATTCCAGCTTGTTCTGTAGCTGCAGAATTGCTAAATGTTGGAGGCTGATCTAGTCCGGACACCGTTGAAGGATCTGCTTGTATTGAATGGTCAAATTTACAGGCTGGCCCGAACTTGCAAATACCATAGCGACTATAGTGTGAGCAGATGCTTTGATCCTGAATTTCGAAAACAGAGGGCTATCACAAAGGTGACACTATTCCAAGAAAGCATTAAGTGTTCAATGTGATAAGAACTGAGAATTTAATTGTTATCACCGAAAAAACAAACCATTAATAGGAACTAAATGCTAAAAGAGTGATCTGTATTGTCAGGATTTCAGAGTCGGATGAAGAGATCATGTGGAAGCCTTTCCCCAGAGGCTACGTTTCTGTAGAAATTCATTTGCCTGACAGAACCTCTGGTTTTAATCACTGCCTAACCGAACAAATCAAGTACCAACTTCTAAAGCATGCAATTTTTTATTGACTTTTCATAAGGAGTTTGTTTCAAAAAGATACGAAACAAGAATAACTGGGAGAACATGCTGTTACATTAATTACTTTTGCTTTCATTTTCTGCATGCATAAAAAAGCTTTAAAATCATCTACCCAGTTTATATATATTTGATAAGAAGCACAACCTAAAGCAGCACAAACTTACAGGTCTCAGTGGCAAGCCCTTGTCACTGAAAGCACATGGGGCTGACTTTGCAACTCGATCTTTTGGATGATGATATTTGCAATTAGATTTAAACTTACAGTCCCCAGTTTTCATGAAGTAACTGCACTCGGGTTGGCCAGGCCGTACTGGGAATTCATCAACCACCATCTGGGGCTGATGATGAGTATAGACAGTGGCTTCAGTTGATGGGTTGCTCATGACATACGCTGGAGTTGGATGGAAGCCCCTTTCTGGTGGGGGATATACAGTCGTCTTGACAAGAAACAACAAGATCAAGTCATTATGGGGAACCATATTGGTTATAAGTTTTCAGAAAGCAAAGCTAACTTCTGGGAGAAAATAATAAGCAGAGCCAGTCTTATCCTACCAGGCAATTTAAAGCCTGAGCTCCTTTAAGAATTGTTGTAGTAAAATAAATAAAAGGTAAAAATGTAAACCAAGCAAAAAATACGTGTTGAGCATGAAAAACAAATTTTTTGGTGGAAAACATGGGAAGAGGGATGATTATACCTTGTCTGATTCTCCATTTTCATTCATCTATTAACACTATAGATTGTCAAAGCAATTAGTATATCATATCTACCAACTAATGTCCAATATTTTCCATGCAAAAGCAACATTAGATAGAGACACATAAAACAATCCATCATCCATATAACTGAACTAAGATCAAGGTTCTACTTGGACTTTCTTTGGTACAAGTCTCAACATTTTTTACTCCGGCAAAGAGTGAATCTAACACAGTGTTTGTCAGCTGAATAAGTATGAAAATGGAATATTTGTCCACCTGTGCCCATTTAGTCTCCCGTACATGGTCTTCACATGACTCTGCCTACATGTGCATGTGTTTCAGACCTTCAGATAACGAAGTGACCAAGCTTCACTTAGAGAGAGAGGTTGAAAGATGGAGCACAATTTTCAACAAAAAGCTCTGAAGCCAGCCAATTATAATATGGGTTTTGCCAACAAGAGCCTTACAGGCACTTAGTTAAGTTGGCTAAAATACTATTTATAGTAATGTTTTTATATTAAATGCAGTAACTAGCAGTTAATGTCATGAATTCCAATGCACTTGTTAGTGAAACACATAAGATATAAACTACCTCTAGAAACTAGTGCTAACCATCTGATCTTACGAATTGAAATATTCCATTCATTATCTTAATATGGTTGTCTGCCAGTGGTTATTAAGAATTGCATAATACTATTATTATCATTTCTCAATGCATAGGATTATAACATCCTAAACCAAATTATCCATTTCATTACATGCAATCTATATGTTCAAGGTGCACAAGCATTTCTACACATTTAAGAGTTATGATATGGAGATACATACTAGATACTTCAAGGTAAGGACCATGTGATGCTAAGGTAAACTTAATGCTATGGACTATTTTATGCTAAGATAAACTTAATAGATGCTATAGACTATATTAACAGAAACTTAAACAGCATAACAGCAATGATAGTACCTGATACCCATTCCATTCTGGATTTGGAGGCGGAACACCTTGAGTTGGTGCAAACATAATTGGCATATAGGCAGCACTCTCATTCAATGTCCTTGGTGATGACCAGGATGTCATATGCACTTGTGATGCAGCTTGCGATGAAACAGATCCACCATTACCATATCCTGAAGATGGGTCACAAGCTCTAGCAGCGGTAGGATCAGGATGATTAAACCTGCAGTTGGCTCCATACTTGCAGGAACCATTACGCATGTAATAGGGGCACTCTTTCTCTCCCTGTGATGAATTAGAGCTTTCAAATTTCCAGAATTATTACTCCAATTAATCACTAAAATAATTCTCATTTGGCTGATTGTAGAACGAATGCAATAAATATTAGCACTTAAATTATGGAGTCTAGCAAAATTCAATTAATACATTAAAAACAGAAGTGGTACCTGTCGGATAGGCAGCCCTAGAAAGTTAAGCTCTAAAATTGGACCCACTGAAGATTTTGCTCTTGAGTGGTTGTATCTACAAGCCTTCCCAAACTTACATCCACCAGTTCTTAGGTAGTACTGCAAAATCTCAAGCAAAATTGTAACACTGCACAAATGTTACTATCAACCTATCTCATTTCTTATAGACAAGGATGAAAATAGATAAGGATGAGCTCCGGAAGCATCTGAACAAACACTAATAGATATATTACGGGACATAGCAAACCACAGTCTAAGAACAAGACTTATTAGAACCAGTGATAAAAGATATTAACATTAGGGACTTGAAATGCTAAGAGAATGCTAGGCTTCATTGAAAGAATAATAAAAATATACACAAATCAAGTCAGTAAATTTCCTGAAAAGAAACAACATAGTTTACAAACTTCAAAATGAATTTCATCCTCAGAAAGCATAGAACTTAATCTAAAAATCAACTTGTCAAATGCTTTCAAATACTCAAACTGAGACCAGAAAAACCTGCTTCAAAACCAAAATATAACATACAGAACCAGTGCATATCGAATTAGTAACACTCATAAATGTGATGGCAGTTAAGATCATAAACAGCACATTTCGCAAGCACAAAATTAAGAATATTGACCTTGCATTCTGTCTGGCTTGGTTTTTCTGTTGATTCATCCTTTTCCTTGACGTTGTCCTTAACAACCTTCAAACATCATAATTCCGAAACACCCAGAATTAAAAAATTCAGCACAAAATGAATAATTATAGGTCTCTAGCAAACGACTCAATCTTAAAACGAGAAAAACGCCCAAAATCATTAGTTGTTATGAGATGCGGGAGGATACCTATGCAGTGCAAGGCCAAATGTATACAAAAACAAAACTAAAATATTATTTATATTGACATAAAGATTCCAAATTCCAATATTAAATTTGATCTCAGCTGTTAATTAATGAAGTTACTTCAACCGAAAGAGATGGATTTTTTTTCCAAAAAAGATGGATTTTTTTCTGTGAAATACGTGAATTTTTTGATAAATTTTATCACCCATAACCTAAAAAACCGAAAAAAATTCAATTAAAAAAAAGCTTTGACAAATATCAATGTAACGTAGAAATGATATAGACAGTTGAAAACAACTAGAGCATTTTTAGCAAATATAAATATGATAAAATAAAATAAAATTAATAATAAAAAGGTGAGAAAATGACCTGATTCTTTCTTGGAACAGGATGATTAAACTTGCAATTAGATCCAAATTTGCAAAGTCCAGTTTTCATGTAATAAGCGCAATCCTCTGCTTCCGGTCTCACCGGATAATGCGACTTCCTTACTTTATTAATCTTTAAGTTTTCACTACCATTCTCATTCTCGCTTTTCTCATCCTCCTCCTCCTCGCTGTCTCCGGCGGCATCAGTGCCGGCATCATTGTCTCTCTGTCTCTCTACGTCATCTTTCCTCTCAGCCTCTTCCTCCTCATCTCCTCTTCTTCCTTGTTCAAATCTAGGTTCTGTAGCTGCTGCTCGAGATTACTTTCGCCGTGCTCGTTTTCCTCAGCCGAGTGATTGAGATCAGACGGTGAGACGTCGGGATTAGGAGCCGGATCCGGATCCGGATCGGTAGAATGAAGCCCTAAGTGAAGGGCGGAACCGGTGGGAATAGAATTGGAAATAGGAATCTCTTCAGATTGTGACATTGTAAATCCACATTTCAAAACCCTAAATTGTGCAAAAGGAGAAAAAAGAGAAGAAACTAAAAAGGTTAAAGTCTTTGCTATTGGGAAATGGAAGTGAAAGCGAGTGTGAACAGAAAGGCAACTAAGGTAAGAACGAAGAAAAATAAGAAAGCGTTACGTATTTCTTCCGTATATTTATACTTCAAAGAAAATGTTGCTTCAGTATTTCTTTTGTATTTGTACGTTTTTTTACTATGTATAAATGAACGTAGTAAGTTAGTAACTTATACTTCCTTTTTTTGTCTGAAAAGTCCTAAACTTTTCTTTTTATTCTAGAGCTCCGTTTTTTTTTTTTTTTAAGTGCGAATTTATAAATAGATATGATAATTTTAATACAATATAATCACGTAATATGAATTAAAAATATAAAAATAACACAATTTAAAATTGTAATAAAAATCATAAATAAATTTAATAAAATTAAAAAAAATAAATTTTATATTTTTATATCAACACAAATTTTGATACATAATTTTTATGTAATATAAGATAAAAATACACAATTTATCAATATTTTATATGATATAAATATATGAATTGTTAAATCCTTTTACAAATAAAGAATTAAGGGAAAACAAAAATAGAAATTTTAGTAAACTTTTTTTAATAATTGATGGAAATTTTAATGTAAAGTCGAGATATTATATTGCGATATTTTTCAAACTGTTTTTAGTACAAGGAGGCCAAATTCTAGAAAATAGGGTGGGAAAATTATAACGTTTTCTTTACAAAAATTATTTTGTATTACAAAATATGTGAATGAATCATTTGAGTTTAATCTTAATTTTTAATTTTTTTTAAGTTAATAAATATATTATATTGATATACAGTTATTTTCTTATAAAAAATAATTGAAGACTATAAATTAAACTTACCAGCTATTATATATCTTTAAGATCCTTGAAATTTAAGGTTAGAATTCTTTTTCCCTTACATTTTTTTAAATATATCAGCATAAAAAAAAATTCTGAGATAGATGGATCAGTAGTTTAATTTGGGAGTTAAAATTTGCAACTATAGATTGATTTGTTTCTTAAAAATTTGCATACTTGCAAAAAACCTAAAATGGTGTACAAGCATATATGAACATGCTGATGAGTAGCCCACATAAAGGAAGCTTTTAGAACCTTTGCATGACAAAGGCATTAGCCCAGATTGAAGAAAATGGTGCATAAATTCAGTACATTAGCCCAACTTATGGAAAGTAGGGAACATCCAACAGAGGAGGACTAGAAGCAAAGTCTGCAAAATTGTCACTCGTGCTAACCTTCCATTTACTTCTAAGAGGATGATTATCATTTAAATTGACCAAGATACAGCCCTTAATACCATAGCCCTTGATACCAAGGCCAATAAGGTGAAATTGATGAAATAACTTCATGAACAAAGAAGGTTGTGTGTCAATGTTTGCCTTTTTCATGTCTCTCATGAGTTTGAAAGATAGTGAGAGTAACCACCAAATACAGTGGAATCACCTAGCATCTGAACAGAACATCCTAGTAGTGAACATGATTAAGACAGGAATCTGGTTCAAGAGCCAAGCAATTGCTCTAATTGCAGTAAATGAATGGGCATAATGAAACCCAAGGTCAAAACATAATTAACAGTTTTCTGAATGACAATAATGGGGGAAATTCTAAACCTTTCCTTGAACCTAACCTACCCTGCCAAGTGAACAACAGGTTCATTAGAAATGTTAAATTACACTTCTCTTGCTTCAAATTATCCCCTACCTTTCTTTGCTGAATGACCAGTCTTCCGTTTGTGACGACTGAAATCTGACACAAATCGAAATGTCTGTCCACAGCCTTCCTCAGCACACACATAAGGACGAGCACCGGTGTGAACCCTAATGTGTTCGGTTCGAGCCCATGGCCACTTGAATGTCATCTTGCAGCCCTTCCAAGGGCATTTAAGAGGACGGTCATCCATATGAACTCGACGATGCTGAACCAGATATTTGTGTGAGAAGAACTTCTTCCCACACCCTTTGACCGGACAAATGTTTCTTTTGTGCTGGATCAGCTCTTGCTTCGAGCCAAAACGCATGATGCAACCTTCCATGTCACACTGATATTCTGCTTCCTCATCTCTTACTTTCACGGTGTTGTGACCAGCTAGAGCTTTCAAATTTGAAGAATTATTCACTTTCTTCTTGCCAGCTTGCTTATTCTCTTTCGGTTTTGTTTCTGATACTTTCAGAGGCTTTTGTATTCTTTTCCTAAGACGCGTGCTGGGTCCACCTTCTATCTCATCTTCACCATAGGAATTGCACCGTCTAGCACTTCGGTCAATTTTGATGTTCTGATTCCGAAGAGTCTCTTGCTTCACTTGCTGAGAGGCTACTTGTTTTGTTGTCCGACGTTTCCCTTGTTTCACATTCTGAGGGGTGTCTTGTTTTTTTTGCCGTGGTGTCTGGGCTTTCCTTTTTCTGCTTCTAAGACTCCTCCTATTAGGTTGATGATAATTCTCATCCATTGAATCATATGAAACTGCATTCTCTCTTTCAATAAATTTCCCTTGCCTGCTTCTAGGAGTCTTTCTAAGCTGCTGCAGAGAAGTATCATCCTGCGAATCATCTGAAACTCCATCTTCCCTCCCAAGAATTTTGGATTGTTTACTTCGTGGAATCCTCCTATGATGTTGAAGAGAACTATCATCTGGAGAATCAGAGGACACTGCATCTTCCCTCTCAATAAACTTGGTTAGCTGACGTCTAGGAACCCTCCTATGCTGTTGATGAGAATTACCCTTCAATGAATCAAAAGAAACTACAGCTTCTCTATCAGTAAATTTGGCCACTTTGTTTCTAGGAATCCTCCTATGCTGCTGTTGAGGATTATCCTCTAATGAATCATCTGAAAATGCATCATCTCTTTCTATGCACTTCATTTGCTTGCCTCTAGGACTCCTCCTAAGCTGATGTTGAGAATCATCATCTGATGCATCATCTGCATGCATCATCTCTTTCTATGCACTTCATTTGCTTGCCTCTAGGAATCCTCCTAAGCTGATGTTGAGAATCATCATCTGATGCATCATCTGGCATTGCATCATCTCTCTCAAAAAATTTTGATTGCTTGCCTTTACGCATTCTTTTATACTGCTTAAGGGAATTATCTGCTAGTGAATCATCTGAGATGGCATCATTCCTCTCGAATGACTTGATTTGCCTGCCTCTATGAATCCTCCTATGCAGCTGATGAGAAATTTCCTCTTGTTCATCATCTGATAGAGCATCTTCTCTCTCCAAATATTTGGCTCGCCAGCTTCTAGGAATTCTCCTATACTGCTTAAGAGAACGTTCATCTAGTGAATCTCCAGAAACTGCATCATCTTCTTCAATATATTTGCCTTGCTTGCCTCTGAGATTCCTCCAATGCTGCTGATGGGTAAAATCCTCTTCTGCATCCTCTGATTCAGCATCTTCTCTTTCAATAAATTTTGCCTGTTTGTTTCTAGTGAGATTCCTGTGCTGCAGAAGAGAATCATCCTCAAGCGAATCATATGAAATTGCCTCTTCCTTCTCAATCAGTCTAGGTTGCTTGCCTCTAGAAAATCTCTGTTGTTGCCTAAGAGAACTACCATCCAATGAATCATCTGAAGCTGCACCCTCTGGCTCAATGTATTTCACTTTCTTTCTTGGTGCAATCCCTGCCCTCATTTTTCTCTTTCTATTAAACTTCTTAGCCACCTTGGTTGTTTCAGCTTTCAGAACATTTTCTGGTTTTCTCTCAAGATTTTCATCTGAAGTTGCCCAAGCATGGAAGCTTCTTTCTTGTTCTTGTTCATCAGGATCTCTTTGTGCCAAAAATGGATGAACCTGATTTGACATCCAAACTTTACCACACCATTTCCCTGCCACTACTTTTTTCTGTTTGCCAGACCTCCTCCCATACACATTTAGCTTTGAGGGTGAGCTAACAAGAGAATTACGGCCAAATGCACTGTATATAACACAATTGTATGGCATCTGTTTACTGTACAGTGTCGAGCGGCTGAGATTGGCACTATAAAATAGGTTGATACCCAGCTTCACCGCCCAGTCCCCATTCCCAGGTATAGCATCCTCACTATCAAGAGCTGAATGTATCCTCTCCTCATCATCCTTAGTAGCATCCCCAAATAAGATGTCACTCCAGGTATAATCAATTCCTAGTTCTTCAGCCACCGACTTCGCTTCTGCTTCTATCTTGGGATACTCTGCATTGTTTCATAGCTAATAGTTAGAGACTGCAGAGAAAAGAAAAGAACCTAAAACAGTTACTTGGTAGAACCATTGATTAGTTTTCACAAAGATGCAAAACATGCAGAAAATAATAACCAGTAATTGAAGATTTTTCCCAGGCAAAAAAAAAAAAATTTTTTGCAGTTAGAAGATACAGGTCAAGGGCCAAGTTGGCCGGTGTATGGTGCCTGTCATTGAGTATAAAACAGAGATCAAACGTTAACCTCTGACTTCACCTGTGCAGCACCATTCCCCTTTTTTACCCACATGCAATACTTCTGCATTTCCCCTTACCTACTCGACTTTTTACCCACATGAATTATCATCCAAAAAAAGTTGCATAAGATAATGGAAACATTAAGGCAATGCACATTAATTCACAGAAAAGTGTAGTGTAAGTTTATGCAAAAATATTCATTCAGGTATGCCAAAATGCACCTGGATGACAAAGGAGAAAAACATGCACTCCTCCTATTTGACGAAGTTGCTGTTCTACTTCTACAGCATGCTCAAGACAGAAGACATGCATTCGGGAAGAATCTTCATCAGACCTTGGAGCATATGGAATATCTGCATTCTCCATTGGTACAACAGCTTTGCCAAACCTCATTTTCTCTGTGCCGTGAGTGGCTGGGGAGTAACTTGGATTAGCATGTGATGCTGTAATTGGATCTCTAAATTTATCCTCCAAACCATTTGATCTTCTTGAAGCAAGATTATCAGTTTCAACCTCAATAGTGCTGTCAAATGTTTGAGGGCTTCTATTCTTGACGTCAACTCTTCTAGATCCAGGTTCTGAATAGCCATCAATAACATGGACAGGAGCTTCCTCTTTATCAAGCCTTGATAATGATGGATTATGACTCCCACTTACATCACCAGGAGAGAAACCAGACTCATTATACTGAAATTTCCTTTCACATGAAACTTTTGCTGGATTTGTCTCATCACCTGAGACAGTAGCTTTTGGTTCAACATGATCTTCTTCAGAATCAGATGAATTTCCATAAGTTGAAGCTAATAGACCAAGAGCAGAAGTATCTCCCCCTTTTTCAGTATCTTCCACTACAGGGATACTTTGATCTACCAGCCGAAACTTGCACTCAACAGACTGAACAGGGACATCATATAAAGCATTTGGAGCACGTTTATTCATCCACCCTGTATCCAAAAGAGAGAAAAAAAAATTAAGGCTCATGATGTGTTCAGAATAAATAAAAAAAATTGAAGGAAAATCAAAACATAGAGCAAAAGAAATAACACAGCACTATTTATATAAAATATTAATTGCAGAAGCTTGGATGAGCATGCTGATCTAGATAAACATATGGTCAAGACATTATGCAGCATAAGTAGTTTAACTCAAACATGACAACCATCGCATCCTATTTAGATGCAAGTATGTGAGCAACCAATCTTCCGGCCAGCCCAAACAGAAGCCAATTTCTATGAGAATAACATAAAAAAGGGCATCAGTTCCCATTACCTTATTAGAGACCCTATCTCTATTACACTTTGGATATAACATTTCCTAGGAACCCAATGACCTCCAGCCAAATTCCAAACTAGTCTACTTACAATCCTTAACAGGACTGCTTCTGTTTTAGTCAACAACATTTACAAACACTACATCATAAAGAGAAGATGTTGCCCCACAAGCACAATGAATACATTAAGCAGAAAGGAAATAAAGAAAATATTTACTTTGACTAGCATGTAAATCACATGAAAATATCAGCTAATAGAAGAAATTTTCCATATAGAGCCTACTTGTAAAAGGATTTTGCTCAGAAGTGATTGCATCCCCTTGAGCAGCAGTGAACCCATTGCGAGTTACTCCGGAACTGACAGTCCAATCATTAAAAAAGCTACAATCAGCTGACATGAGGTACCTAGCCGCTTGTTCTGTTGGTTGAAGAACAGCAACACAAGCAAAGCACAATATTCCACATGTTACACATGAAAACAGCCTCTGATCTGACAGTGCATCACCTTGAACAGCATTTTCTCTTTCCATGCTCATGTTCAAGGTCCGCACTGGTAGTCTACATAAATAATCAGTTCCACTAAAAGAAGAATCCTGGTTACCCTCATACATAGTAACAAATTTTCCTTTCGCTGAATAGAAACCTTTTACTCCCTTGGTTTCTTCATTCCCACCTGGCATGATCTCATCAGTAGCTAAGTCTTTGGGGGATTTCACTACTTCCTTGTAGTTAAATAAACCAAGGGACATCCTAGGGTTTGTTCTTAATTGGGATGCAACACGTAAATCTGAACAAAGAGAAATGTCAGAACTTTTGGGGAGTAGTACCACAGAAGATCCTTTTCCAAGAATATGAAGTAGGTCATTGTTCTGTTTAAGACTCTGCACAAATAATTTTTTAACCACGGTTTCTCCTTCACTTTTTTTCTTATCCTTTAGCCGAGTACTCTTTGGTTTAGCACTGATGCTCATAGGTACCCTGCAAGGATAAACCTAACACAAATGAGGAAAGGGTGCATAATATAAGTTATTGCTCTTCAATTTACTGTACTTCAGCATCCTACAAACAACTTTTGGTATGAACATGCCAATAAATATTCACAGATTTCTGTCCTTTAGATCATCCGGACATTAATTTACTAATAACGTGAAATAAAACTAAAAGGAGAATGTTACTTAGACTCTTCAATATTTCAATGTACCAATGTTGGCCACTTATACGACATTTCAAAGTAAACATAGCATGACAATGTGGCCATCTAAATGTTACTAGGAAAAACTTGCAAAAGGTAAAAGGTACCCATCTCCACCATTTGAACCCAAGTCAGAGCAGCAAAGGATCAGGAAAAAACAAGAAAATATTTCAATCACAAGCAATAGCAAGATACGAGCAAGTGGAAAAAATATTTTAAGCCATTTATCTATCCCCAGAAACTTCCCAAGTACTGTGGAACTATTCAATTAAATTTCACATGCATATTCAAATGAATTGCATAATATTGACAGTAAGAGTAGCAAACTATAACAAAAATTGTGGTGAGTAAGAATTTCAACTATATTTGGTTGAGAAGGCAGAATGCATCACGAAATTAAGAACCAGGCATTGGATGGAATCATCCTGCTTCTATAATAGACATGAGTCATACCTTGAACAAAACTCAAGTGCAAGATCATAAAGTAACTGGATATGAGAGACCATAGGAGGATAATTGATTGAAGCTCTTCGAATAGCAGCATCTCTGGCCACTGTTAACCATTCTGGAGTTGCAATATTAGCTGCCTCTCCAAAGTTAAACCCTAATGGCAAAAACATATGGACTAAATAAGCTACCTCCTATGATAGTAAGTAATAGCAATTCAAAGGTATCTCACCATGACTGAACCCTGAATGATAGGCTCTTGGGAAAGTGATAACAAACTCCCCAGCATTTTGCACTAACCTGGTTTCAGAATACTATTAACGTAAGAAAGAGACAGATAATCATCCCTCACCAAGACACTAAAATCATATCATAAGGAACAATGAGAATAAGTTCTAGCATAAAAGTATTTCAAGGGAACTTCTCAGTGTATCATTTTTGCTAATATAAGATGAAAAGGATGAGCCATAAATTTAATTAAACGAACAAAAAATGGAGTTAAAACACTTTCTTATGGAATGAGAGAAAAGTGAAATGCAAGCCAAAAAGAAGTAAAATGTAAAGATCACAAGTATTACTTTTTTATTTGAATTGAATCTAAGAAACTTTGTAGAAAGCCAAAGAACACTCAAGCGTGCAAAAGAATAGAGGGGTAAATTTACCTGCAGCATGGAATACCAGCACGAACAAATACTTCAGGAGACATCACTGTGGTCTTCTCGCCAAGAGTAGAAAAGGTAACTAATACATGAGAAATTAAAATAAAATTTGCTCAACTGGCATGTTGGGAAAAAAGATTTAATATCAGTACCATCAGTTAAATATGAGAGATTGAACCGCTTTTCCAGTTAAACCAAAATACAATCAAAGCATAGGAATTTCATGGAATAAAATTAACCTGATCCAAAATGGCAAGTCAAAACCTTGATACACTAGAAAGTCAGTAAGTGCTATTTTAATCACAAGCCACACTCTCAAGACTTTAACCTAATTGCTTCCCAGGTGCTAGAGCTTGAAAGGGATATAAAACACATGTACGAGGGGATAAGAAAAAACATATAAAATAGTCACATAAGCAGAATGATATGAAGATATATATAAATCTATAAAGAACCATACACCATATCCTCTGTTCTTCATTACTCTACCAAAATACTTTTTAAGAAAAAGATTTCATGGCAGATATCTATGAGACAAGCAACCACCAGATCAAATAATATGAATCACTCTCATAACTGCTTCATACCACAGCTCCTACAGAGGACATAGAAGATACAATTTTCTTTTGAGACAGAGGAGTAATCTCTAAAATAACACTCCAGTTACTTGAACCAAAAATCCTTCAAGCCAAAGACCTAAATCAACAGAGCATTGAAGAGAAAATGATAACTACTTCACTCAAAGATAACTTATGATTAAAGTCAGGACAATAAATTAACATTATCCCATAGCCACACTCTGAACATAATTCAACCAGGCCCAGAGACACAATGGACGTCCTGGGGGCAGGACCATGACCCAGAATGGGTGCGTGGGTGCTGAAACGAGCTCAGGGAGCTCAGGCCAGGGATTTGGTTCGGCAGCTTTCAGACAGACCCAGGCGTGGGTGCGGGAGAAAGCCCAGGCGCAGGCCTAGGGAGGGGCCCCGTGCGGGCACCGCTGAAGAAGGAGTCCAAGCTGGTTCAAACACCTTTCTGATAGAGTCCATGTAAAATTAGAACTCTCTAGTTGTAATCCTTTGTAACGTCCAGTATATGTTGGATTCTTTGTGAGACCTAGGATAGGAACTATTTCAGCCTTAGCTTTAAATAGAAGGTGCCCCTACCCTCATTGTACGCACACCACAACTTGAGTAATACAAGTTTACTGTTGCCTATCTCTGTTGTTCTCTTTGGCTTTCCATCAAACAGTTTATGTGCAGCCTTGTCCGGCCATGGTGGACAAAATAGTAGAAGAGAGAAACAGAGTAGGGTCACTAACTACAAAGTCTAAAATGCCAACAGATAACTAACACCCCTTAGAAAGCTCCAATTTCTCCATTCAAAAAAAGTCAAATTGGAGCGCCCAGTCTATTAAGTTTATTCTTCCTTTGCTCAAACCAGTCAATCTCACCAATGCTATCCTACATGGGCTACTACCTACATATGCAGAGTCAACAGAAAGTATTCCACATGTAGCTAACCAAGAAACAGAGGAGACACATTTAATAGTCACTGAACTTACCAAGAGGATTGAACTCTCCTCCATAGCCATCAACCATGACCACCTCCTCGAAGGCAACCGCAGCATCCCTTGGAACACCATACCATGTTTTACTTGCTCCCATATGCAAGTAGTTCAAGCTATGCAAGTCGTGATCCTCTACGTGCCAAGCGAACCAACTGAACAACATTGCAATGTACACCATAGGGGAAGTAACACCCGGAATCTCCTCCTTCATGAACCTTAACAATGACCCTTTTGCCCTCGAAACCGCCCTCATATTCCAGGGTGTCTCCCCCACTGTAACCGCTTCCCCTGCTTCTCTCCCTCCCCCACTGCTCTTCTTTGAGTTCAACGGCACAAAAGCTGAACCAGGCATGTCGTTAGCATACTCAACGGAAAAGGGTTTGTCAACCGTTGCTTTCCAGAAAAGGGTTTCGACTTCTAAAGCTGAAAGTGAACCCTTTTTGCTGTATTTTTTCAAGTAAGTCTTTTCGAAACTCTTCGCCTTTGTTTCAAATTCTTGGAAAGTGTAGTACTCCCCACTCTGCCAGACGGGTTTCTGAACGGGCCGAGGTTTTCGGGGGCAAAACCCGATCTGCTGCTGGCGGGTAGTGAATGTGGGTGCCGGCTTCAAATCGGAGCTAGCATTAGCTGCAGCACGAGCCAAAAGCGAACGATTGAGGTTCCCAATTGCTGTTTTTTTAGGAGCAGGTGGCACCGGAGGTATGATTTTGCAGATTCCATACAGGGAAGCCTCCTTTTCGATCTTGAAAATGTAGGCAATTGGATCTTGAAACTCTGCCAAAGTGGGTCTGTACTCTGGAGCTAAAGGCAGAGATTTCAGCCATGAAAACACTTCTTGACTTGGTTCAGGTGAAAGGCTTGAAGCAGCCATGAAAAGAAGAGTAAATTTCTCTGGGTAACAATTTGGGTAATCATTAAGAGTTCATTTTCTGAAGGGAAAAAGAAAAACAAAGAAGAGAGTTTTCAGATTCTTCTGAGCTTCCATTTTCTTTGTTTTTATATTCTGAGAAATGGGTTTCTTTTTATTTTTTCTCTGTCCTCTGTTTTTTCTTTGGGTTGTTTTACAGAGGAAATGGGGAAACGGTGAAAATTTTATTGAGGGCAGAGGAATGGGCAAGCAATGGCAAACTATAGGAATGGGCAGAGTAGTACTCATGCGACTAGTGGTTTCAGTTATATGAAAATGACATTCTCTTTCTTGTTATTTACCTTCTTGCCACTGCTTTTTTTTTTTTTGTTTTTTCATTTCTGGATAATGCCATGTGACCCTTTTTTAAAGTGTTTTTTTTCTCATCATCTTTTTTATAAAATTAATTAAGTACGATAAAATTTAAATATTTTAGTTATAAATTTTAAGTTTAATTTTTATTATCAATAATTTTTTTTTATAGATTAACTGTAAATTAAATGTAAATTTTTATTGAAACTTATTATATATTTTAAATTTGAAGTGAGATTATCATTCTATTTAAATTTTTTATAAAAAATAATAATTTTATGACTTTTTTTAATCAAAACTTTTACTTCTTTTGGTACTTTCAATTTTTTATTTAATGATATCTTTATTTTCAAATATGCTTTAAACATTGTTTTCACTTATTTTTTTGTGTAATTTTTTAAAAAATTAAAAATCAAAATAAATAAATAAATAAATGAGCTACGTGTAATTTTTAAGGCTATTGTTTCATTTTGCTGTGCACTTTTACTTTGATTTTGACTAGGCAGTGGTCAAAACAGAGTCTATAAGAAAACCAACCACGTAAGATTTTTTTTTTATCCCACTTTCTCAAACTGCGAAAATTTGCGTGTCACAAAATGATTGGTTCCCTTGTTTCATCGCTGTAGGCCATACCACCGTATGCATATAGTAGCATTTTTTTTTTTAAGCCAAAGCAGACTTTTTTTTTAATTAACTTTGGCGACACTTAAAAATATTATATCATATAATTTATTATAATTTAATTAAATAATTAAATTCATACATTATAAGATTTAAATTTAAAATTTTAAAATTTTAAGAATTTTTCTTTATTATTAAACCAACATTTCGTTTGCATTATTTTTAGCTTTTTAAAATATTTTTTTGTTCAAAAACTTTTTTAAGATGATTGATTGGCTATAATATATATTAATAATTAATAACAATTTAATAATACCTTTAATTAAAGGAAAGGCATCTCAAGATGAGATTCCGTTAAACACTCTCATCCACTCGCATAAATAAATAAATGAATAATATTAAATAAAATTATACTTTTATCTAATCAAAAAATATTTAAACGAAATTTTTTAAAAAGAATTTGTAAAGTTATTATTAAAAATGATTAAATAAGGAGAAATTAAAATAAAAAATCTAAATTATTAGATTAAAACATCTTTTTATATGAATTAATTATATAAAATTTAAAAATTTTATATATTTTTAAATAGATTTTTTACTAAAAATTTGGATAAATTTTGAAATTTTAATAATTTTTTAACTATCAATTTAGATTTTTATTAACGTTTTTATTTGGATTATTTTTTGTAAAAAAAAAAAACAAAAAAATACACATTTTGTCTTCCCTATTTGTTATTTTTTAAAATTTTATGATATAAGGCCAAGATTTGAGAATGAATCAAACATGACGAACTAAGCTTCTATGTTATTGTTTTTTTTTTTTTTTTTTGGTTGGTCCGATAACATAGAGCTTTCATATCGTATTAAATAAAAGAGTAGTGCTTCCTTTTACAGTTGTCCTGTCATCCATAAAATAATACTACTAGTAAATGCTCCAGATTTTAAATTCTTAAAATATTTTCATTTGTAATAATTAAATAAAATTTTTATCGTATTATACAACTGTCATAAGCGGAAGGTACCACCAATATGAACTTAAGATCAATACAGAAAATGGAAAATCAACTTAGAATTAATTTCATAAGCATGGTTCAAAGCTAATAATTGTTATATTAAAAAATTTTAATTTATTTGTTACACAAAATAAATACAAATGATTATATATGAGATTTTGAAAATTAATCACAAAATCAGAGGAAACATAGTACTGTTTTGAGCGTAGCAAATGAAAATTTTTTATTTTTTATTGTTTGTTGGAACATTTTAAAGGATGAGTGCGTGGTTGAAAATCTTGAAAATCGAACCAAAATTTATTTTTATTGGTTTAAATAATTATTTTTATAAAATAATATCTAATAAATTTAAATTTTAAATTCCAATATTTACAATCTTTTTTTTTCTATTTCCAAATTGCGTTTTATTTGAACAAAAAAAAAATCTTGAAAACCATAAAAATGATTCCAAATTTTAAGGTTAAAACAACATTAGTACTGAATATTAATAAAATGGTCCAAAAATATTAATTTATTATACATTCACATTTAAAAAAAAAAGAAAGAAAAGAGAAGTTAGTTGCAATTAATACCAAGGCATCGTCACCATGTCAATTTGCTTCATTGCACTCCTTTGAAAGTGAAAGGTGCAGGGAAACTGGGCAATGGTCGCTCCCAAAAAAACCTGCAAAATTTCATGATCAATGCCGGATGTCTTATTTGACAGAAACAGACAAGAGTAAAATGCATTAAAATAAGGCATTGAATGTTACTGAAATTGCAAGGATTCTTCTTTCTTTTTGTGCATTCAAAACTTAAAGGTGTCCATTTGCCTTTGTATGGCGTATATGGTATCCTTGTGGGTTTGATAAATGAAGCCAAAGGATCCAAGGATGATAAATGGTGCTTAGGCATTGATAGTTCATAGCAAGCTACCTAAAGATATTGAGCAAATGTGGCCATGTGGTTGCCAGTTGACCAGGACTGGCTTACACCTTAAATTTTAAAGATTGCTCTAACAGAAACCAAAATTTGTCAGGCTGTTTGAAGATTGTAGCACTATCATCAACTTAAAAGATTTCGATAACACTTTCTGTTCAGCATTTAAAGTGAGCAAGAAGAAAACTAAAGGAAGAAACTCCCAGGATCACCAAGTAAAGCAATTGAACAATCCTATATTGCATTTACTAGCTTAGTATTGTCTATGGTTCACATCTAAATCTAAACTCATGAGTTCTAAAAAAAGATGAAATAGCAAAAACCTCAGGTACATAGCCCCCGATCATTCACCACAAGCAGTCAAGCAACTCTCCCCCATAAGTAAAAGAAGAAAGAATAATGCCATTAAATAATTAAAATAATGAAATTAGTTTGCATCTTCTCTCATGGTTTATCTATAAGATGACTAATGGAAAATGGCTACCACTAGCTTCAAGTTGTGTCATGGCAAAGAAGTACTATAAAGAAAAAAACCCCCAAAATTGCACCTTCTAATTCAATCCCGTGCCCATGCATTTCACATGCAATAATCCTGTTCTTGAGCTTATCTGAAACCACGAAATAGTCTATTCTCATTCTTTTTCCTCGATACCTGCAATAAAACCAACCAGCATTACATCCCAACCTAAGATTAGTCAACTATTTCCTCTATAAACTTTGATTGGTTGACACATTTAAACAGGTTCATATCATCCAAAAATAAAGTTAATATCAATAAGAACAATAATGACAAGACAAATAATAAAATCAAAGGCAATTATGTTGGCATAAAAACTACTTACTTCCCAATGGGGTTTCCAGACCATGAAAACCCACGCTCCATATCCCTCTCCTTGTGCAGGTATCTATATGCATCTAATAGCTTTCCCCTAAGCAAAATACACAATATTCTTTTAAGTATATGCAAATGAAAATCAAAGAAAAGACCATATCTCATTATATGCAGGTAAGCGAAAGATATCAGCTCGAGCTTTTCATAATAATAAGTTTCAACCTATTTCAAACACTCATGGAAATAACATTACCATACAGATCATAGTTTCAACTTTCAACATATTAATGAGTTATGGAAATCACAGTAGTAAGGGCTGTCTGAAGAAATGACGCACTCTTTCAATATTGCCCCAAAGCGCTTCCTCTCAGCTAAGGTAAATCCAGGCTGTCCACAATCCTGCACATCATTGTGGACTATCTTGTCAGTTATTTTTTAAACATGGAGAGGAATACTACATGAATTAGTCCATATCTGGTTCTTAAGGGAACTATATCAGTTGAGTGCATTCAATGTTAAGATTTAAAATTCAATCCATACATTCATCATCACAAGCAAGGCCTGAATCAATTAAATAGAAGGTGGCATTTTAACCAGCAGTTTTCACTTCTAAAGTGATCCCAAACCATCAATTCCTGAGCTAGATCCAATATCACTTGGTGGACCACCTAAGATGATCAATTTGCACCTTATATGTGATCCAACTAACCCCACTGCTTTCTGGAGTTTGCCTACTGGTTTTGATATCCATCATATTTTGGTGTTCAAGGTCAAGTTTATAATGAATATATAAGTATCAAAATTGATGTCAGATAAAATGTCAAGATTATGTCAAGAAATGGTTCAAATCAAAGTCAACCCTCAGTGCAAAGACAAAGGCATCATTGATAACCTCTTTATTTGGAGGAACATAACCATTCATCTTTGCTGCACTGAAGAATTCTGGATGACTCACATCAATATCCTCATGGCTGCATAAGCAAAGGATATCCATAAGAACACTGCTCATTCCAGAAAGAGAAGATGTATTGTATGAACCAAACAAGATTTATAAGTCCACCCACAGTCCCACACGCCACCACCCCAAGAACTCACCTTACATTCAGATCTCCACACCAAATAAGAGGCTTATCTGACAATTGCACAACAAACTCTAGAAGCCTTTTATCCCATTTTCTTCTCCGCTGAAATGAATTTTCCTCTTCTTTCCAACCATTGTTTGGTGCATAGGTATTCAATACACGTACTGTCTCAAATTCAGCTAAAATAACCCGGCCATCTGGTTCATGCTTTGAAACTAACAAAAATATTTGGTTTCAAGGAAGTATGGAAGAACATAACACAAGATCTCTTGTTAGGTGGTTTAACGAGATTGTCCAAATGTACAGTCAAAATGATGTGCATTCTTTTCTTTTTTATGCAGGCATATATTCAATTCCACACACTCAGAGAAAGAGAAATGAAATATTTTTTCTGAAGTTTAGAAAAGCATAGAGTTGCCAGTTCTTTTCCATTTAGGCCCATCCCAATAAGAAAGGTCAACTGTTCCAAAATGCAAATATATAAGAATTTTTTCCCTACATGGAAATTGGAGAATGGATGTTTGTGAACAAAAATACCTGTTCCATCAAGAGAAAAAGAAACTTTTATGGGTCGAAAGCACTTCTTTACTAACAATGCAGTGCCTGCATATTTTGAATCCGCCAGAGACCACCAAATATGATAATTTCCAAATGGTGGACGAGAAAGAGCACGCATCAATATCTGCATGGTTTGCCAATTTTAGAGTAGATAGCAGACAAACCACATGCATTACACTGATATGAAACTGTTCTTTGATGGGCTGTTTAGGCCCCTTATTTTGAACAAAAGAAAAGTGCCCTTTACCATAGCCTATCCAAAAATGATAGACTAATTTAATAGGAAGGAAAAAACAATGATAATATACCACTACTTGATTACACTCTTCATGCATGCTCACATGTATGTATACCAGTGAGACCTTATTTAGAAAACCCATGCCATGAAATGGAATGCTCACAGATTATGCAGCATATTTACAGACTGTAATTTGTAACTTTTGCAATTAACAACGGTAGTGTTGCATGATTTTTTTTAAAAAAAATGTATATAAAAAATAGACCTATGCTACTAAGAAAATGATGATAAAGAATCTCCAAACTTTCTTGTCAAGAAAAATGTAAATCTGCCCAACCCAAGATTTTAATCTAGTCAATTTAGAGCGCATTTAAATGTCTTTGCATAAGATTGTCATTGAGGAGATAAAAACGCACTAAGGTAATAAATAGAGAAAAGTAAAGAGACAGAAAGGAACAGAAAAAAATAGAGTTAACTCAATTTAACTACAATGCCTAAATTGAATTCTAAAGGAAACTACATCAAAAAATAACGGCACCCATGACTTTAACCTTTTAGGAAACGCAAGTCTCTGTTAAAACATATATTAGTCGTGGATGCTACCAAGAGAAAAATAGTTACCTGCTTTTCTTCTCTAGAAGAGCTTGTATCATCTTTTAACTCTGCTGGATTTTTAGGTGCACCTTTTGAACCAGCAGCAGGCATCCTTACTTCCTACCATGAACATACACCAAAAACGACTAGCCATAACGCCCGTAACCATAGTTCAGCATTGGCATATATGAAATAACCAAGATGAAGCAATGTAATTAAAAAAATCCAGGAATTAACAAAAAGTAATGTGCGTGTGTATGTGTTTTTTTTTTTATATATTTTTACATTTTGCTACAAGAAAAAGTTACTGCTATGCCTGGAGTACAAGCGCGTTTCCAGATTAAGCCATAGGCAGTTCATAATCAGTACTCACATAGTCACATTGCCATTCAAACCCCATTGCCAAATAGTCATGGCAGATCTACCCTCTTTTAAAATATAGAAAATGGAGACAGCTAGAAATAGAATAAACAATAAGGAGGAGCCATGATCATTGGCAACAATAACCCTGTTTTAGTTCCCAATGCAATAATGTCTGTTTCACTTAAAGCGTTAAAGATCAAAACCTAAAATACCCAGTTCTAGCCAAACACAGTAATAAACGGAAATCCATCAAAGTCCCAAATTTAAAAATAAATAAATAAATAAGGGTTATTAAGAGAGAAGGAGAAAGTGAGAGAAAATTCACCTGTATAGCAATGACATCAGGGTCAAGATTGGAAACAAAATTGGAAAACTGTGGCCAGTTGTTCTTGACTCGAAGAAGCAAACTGTTGGCGTTCCATGTGACGAACTTCAATGGCTCTTTCTTGATGTCCTCTTCTTGTTGTGCTTCGCCAATTTCGCCACCTTGCTTTGAAGGTGAAAGCGAGGGCTTCTTGGCCGACCCTTCCTTCTCTATTGGTTTGAAGAACCGCTTCATGGTCTTACTCAGCTTTCAGAGTTCCTAGAAGTCCCAACTGTCTCCTGTTTGTTCAAGGGAACACCATTTGTACAAAGCTGATTCAGCTGTAAAAAAAATAAAATAATTTTTAAAAAATAGTACTATAAGAAACATTGGGCTCAAATTGTGTTGGATTAGGGCATGACCTGGGCCTAATTTTGTGAATTAAATTAGCGGGTCAATACATTTGGAAATATGTAATTTTATTATTAACATATTTATTGATGGTATTTTTAGGTGTTTAATTGGAGGGAGTTAGCTAGAAGTTGAGCCAAAGAGAACTCGGCCTGGCCTGCAATTAGAAACCACAGTCAAGAGACGTTTCAGTTGGTTTTTGAAATGCGTTTCAATGGCTAAGTCAGTGAAAGTATTTAAACAAGTAATCTAAGAGTATCAAACAAGTTTCAAGGATAAGGTATACTTAAATCTTATCTATATGGGTTTTATTCTTACTTTACATATGAGATGAAAATCGATGATATAACTAAAATAGTTGACAATTAATAGTTAATTATGAGTTTTTATAGAACTTTGAGAAAAATTTGTATGAGTAATTGTAAATTGTATTTAATAATCTTAAATAAATGTAAATTACATTTAATAATTCAAAATAAATTAAAGATCAAGCATACAATTCTAAAATAATGCCTTAATTAAAATGCTAGTGAAAGTGTTGAATGAGCCATTCATAAGAGAAGAATCGATTTCAGGACAACAAATTTAAACATCAATTCTAAATGAATGATTATGATGTGACAGTCAAACGTTTGTTTACTAAATAATCAAAAGAGTTGATATTGTTGATTAAGTAAATATGTATAAGAATAATAAAATTTACTCGCATGAAAATTTAAAATTTAATTGGTTACGAAAGCATGAGTCTTTGCTTTTTAATTGGCTAATTGGAGAGGAAAATTTTGGGAGAGTAAAAATGGAAAATAAAGAAATTTGCTTTTTTTTTCTTTTTAATCGTGTCCATATTTTATTGCCCTGGTCCAGATTCTATTTTCCCTGGTGACCAATCGGTATTAGTGTGAATTGTGGCGGATAAGTCGGGACAGTGAGACCGTTAAAAGGGCACCAATCATAGCCAACAGAACCAATCTGTTCTTGTTGAAGCCAAGGGCTGATAGTAAAAGACAGCCTGAAAAAACTAGCTGAACTGAAATGGCTTCAACCACCATCTCTCTTTCTTTGCCATCATTTTCTTCTTCTTCTTCAACTCATTCCTGCACTCAAACCAAACCATCCATATTCAGCCACCACCAACTCACCAGGAAGAACTTACCATCTTCACTCTTTACTTCAACAACATTCCTTTACAACAGAACAGCAACAAGAACTCAACAAATCAGCACCTCCTTCAAAGTCAAATGCTCAGCTGCTGCCTCTTCTTCCGCTACTCTTCCTTCAGCTCTTCTTTTTGACTGTGATGGTGTCCTCGTTGATACTGAGAAGGATGGCCACAGGATTTCATTCAATGACACTTTCAAAGAAGTAACTCATACTTCTTACCTTCTTTCTTGCCTCTCTTGTTTGTAAATTTTTTATGAATGAGTTGATTAAGGATGAGCAACTTTAAATGATGGAACAGAAAGAGTTGGGGGTTACATGGGACGTGGATTTGTATGGGGAGTTGCTCAAAATTGGTGGTGGAAAAGAAAGGTAATCTCCTTTTTTCTTTTTTCCTTTTTTTTGCTTTTTGAAGTTAATAAAAAATTGAAGTGGTTTTCAGTTGATTCTTGGTTTGTAGGATGACAGCTTACTTTAACAAGACAGGGTGGCCAGAAAGAGCTCCAAAGAGTGAAGAAGAAAGAAAGGAATTCATTGCTTCACTTCATAAGCGAAAGACTGAGTTGTTCATGGCTCTCATTGAAAATAGACTGTTACCTCTTCGTCCTGGTGTTGCGAAGTTAGTCACCCTCTTTCTTCTGTTAATCTATTCAATCTGTAGTACTTAAAATTTTGTGTTTTTGAGGATTCAAGTTAACCCCAAATGTGATTCTTTAGTATGTTTCTAAAGAATGGCTAGAAAATGAAGAATTCAATCACATATTTTAGATTTCCAGATTCTAGTCTTATGAGTTATTGGTATCATATTAAACAGGTTGATTGATCAAGCTTTGGGGAAAGGAGTAAAAGTTGCTGTGTGCAGCACATCCAATGAGAAGGCGGTATGCTAATCAGGTTCTACAACTGTGATTAATTGAATGATTGATTTAATTTGGCCCAGGATGACTTGCTGCAAATCTGAGAATTGCATTTTTACTTATCCAAACAGTTTAGCAGGAGAGAATAATAGACTAAGTTCATCATGGCACACTCATATGGAGGGTTCTTATTGAATTCTCATGTCTATTCTTCTACTCAAATCCATTACACATTGAAGTAATCTTCTTAGTATCATCATATTACTTTTAGGTCTCTGCAGTAGTTTCATGTTTACTGGGACCAGAGCGAGCAGAAAAGATCAAGATATTTGCTGGAGATGTGGTTCCCCGCAAAAAACCTGATCCAGTAAGTATGTCATCCTTCTTAAAGTTAATTATAGAATGGCAAAGAAACCGCATGGATATATCATATAATATCATTCAATTTTGCTCTCAGAACCTTCGAAAACAGAAATATTACTTCCGTGATGAATCATTATTAATACAGATTTAAAAACTGCCTGGGCCTTCTGTCTTTATGGATTTAAAATAAGAAAATGAACTGCTTTTACTGTTATGAACAGAAGAGGCTTCTAAGTTCTAAATCCCATGTTCACACCCTGCATACTTTATTTCAATGTGGTTCACAAGTGTTCCATTACAGTTTACTTGGTTCAAATTCATTCATATATTTGTCTATATTAAGATGTATTATCTGCTACTCAAGCGTACATATTCTTTCTGGCAGGCCATCTATACCTTAGCCGCAAACACTCTCGGGGTTGATCCTTCAAGGTATTGCATCATAACAAAGCCTTACTGATGTTGCCAGTGATACTCGATACTGCAAGATCAGTAAATAATTCTAGAATGCTGCCAATGATTTCAACTTATTGACTCCTTGACCTGCTGACAATTAGTTCGATGCAAGTTCATATTAAAATGCTTATGTTTTCTGTTGTTAACTACCTTTGTTTTAGATGGAATCTGATTCTTTCTTCCAATTTGTTCCTCAGTTGTGTTGTTGTAGAAGACAGTGCCATAGGACTTGCTGCAGCCAAAGCTGCTGAAATGACTTGCATAGTGACAAAGAGCGGGTAACTCTTTCGATTTACAGCCACATAAATACAAATTCTTTCCAGACTACTTTATTCAGTTTTGTACCTTTATGAGTACTCAGTTATCATCATATTTTATATTCAGTTTGTGGAAGTGAAGAATTGTGAGGATGTTGGCTAGTCTTACCGGTCATAGGAACAATATTTTTTGCCAGACTGGAGGATGTTTTAGACTTCTAATTGCTGGTTATTGGGGCTCCCTTTTTGCTCCATCCAATAACATGTTTGTTTCTCACCAGAGATGTTGGATGGATTAGATGATTAATTTGGGAGGGTAAACCTCTGATAAATGATTCACTTGCATTAGAGTTAGACAAATCATGCTTGGCATCTGTACTTACTGGCAGTGCTACTTGCTCTCACTTAAAGTTCAGCTGGGTGTGACACTTTGCCTCATTATCAAGCAAATAGCTTAAAGAGTGTCCCAACTTTCTGCTACTTCTACAAGAGACAAAATAGAAACCAATCTTAAATTGTGATTTTTTTTACGGAGGCCTTAGCTGAGAAAAGAGTTGCAGATTTTGAGATTCGAACCTTAAATTTGGATGTAACTTTTTGCGGGTGATTATATGAATCAACTGAATTAAATTCTGTGTTCAAATCTTAAATTGCGAATTTGCTACTTGAAAATTGAGACATTTTATTTTGAACAGAAACTTCTAAGTTTTCTCATTCTCTGGAATTTCCATAGGCTTCTCTCAAGCTGCTTAAGTACTGTGCTTATTGCCCATGCATGAAAAATTCTCTTCCCATTTCCCAACCCCTTCACCCTTTCTTCCTTTTCCTTGAAATCAATTTTTATGTCTTCATCAACCTGTAAGACAGTAAAGAGTTTCATATCATGCCATGCAATACCAAATCATGTTAACATTCATTTACCTCTGGCTGCAGATATACAGCCGATGAAGACTTCTTAAACGCTGATGCAGTCTTTGACTGCATTGGAGATCCACCAGAAGAGCGGTTCGACTTGGCATTCTGTGGAAGCGTTCTACAGAAGCAGTATGTTAGTTAAACCGTAAAATATCAACTGTAAGAGAGCTACTCCAAATTTTATTAATGCCCAAGTCATTTTGTTCCTATAATTGTTTGTTAAGACACAAACTTAAGATCAATGCCTAGACTTTATTCGTAGCTGTCACTTTTGGTTCTATGAATGAAAAAATCACTGTGAAAAGTTCTTCCCACCAAAGCAAATTACTTTCAATGAAAATCTCCCTTGTGATTGTATACATTTTGGCTGGATCCAAACTGTTTAACACTATCTTCTGGATGGAGAATGGAAGTTCAAGTTCAGCCATGAAAACCAGAAAAAAGGTTAATGCTTGGCCAGCCGGTTGAGCAATCAGGTCCTACCTCGTTCCCTTTGAAGGTCAAAGTTGGGCTTCCTAATTTTCATTGTTGGGCCGAGCACTTGCTTCTGTTCAGAATAGTGGGCAGCCATGCCCATGAGAGAGAGAGAGAGAGAGCGGATCAGAAATTGATAGGTCCAATGTCACCCTCGAGCTATAATGGTAGGTCCAATTTCTGCAGTACATGATTAACAAAAGAGTCCGTCCCATAAGGTCTCTTTTCTAGCCCTCAAAATTGATTACAAAAGCAACGAACTAGCGTTACGATTGAGGAAAAAAATCGAAAAAATTAAAAAGTAATTTAAAATTATAATATTTGATTGAGTTTTATTTAGATTAATTTTTTTATTTGATTTGAATTAAATTCGAATATTAAATATATATATATTATATTTGGATCAAGAAATGAAAATTTTTAAAAAAATTCAGTCGAAACAAATTATATAAATTTATTAATTTTTATATATTTTTGAAATTTTTATAAAACAAAAATAATTATTTTATACTTTAATTTATTTAAATATTTTAAAAATAATATAAATAAATTAAATTTTAAAAATTAATCAATCAAATTAAACTAATGAAAGTCGGTTAAATCCTATAAAAATTTAATTCGAATTCTTATCAAATAATTTATCACCTTTAACTAACATAAACCAATTGAATGAATTCGTCTTGCTATTGTCAACCTTATAGTTTGGTGATTAGTCTTGTAATTCAACCATATATCTCACAATTAGTTACATATCATTTTAATTTAAACTTAATTACAATAATAATTGTTTGTATTAAGAATTTAATTTATATTAAATGCAAAAAAAAAAAAAAAAACTTCAAATAATATTTGAACTATTCTTAAAAAATATCTACAAGCACTCATTAACTGGACCACACTATATTAACCCTTAAAATAATATTTTTAGATACTCATTAGTCATTAGCAAATTAAACCATAAATTTAGTTTGGTATGGCCAAATCAATGGGAGTTGTTGGAGATTTCCATCTCTTAATGCCGAATGGCCAACCATCGGTGCCATATTAAATTCCACAACAAACTGTCATGCATGCCAACTGATGCTACCTTATCCATCACCTCTCTTAAATACTCCTATTCATTATCCATCCAACCATTAAAATATCTGTACATCTATTTTTCTCAAAAAATAAAATGATGCAAAATCTATATATCTATCTATATATTTATTTATATTTGTTCTCCGCCGAAAAGCAAACTAGCTAATTTTTACTCTTTTATCCTCACGTAAAGTTGACATAGGATCAGATTTTACTCGTTTCGAATTCGATTCGATTTTATGCGATATTAAATTTAAATTTAATTTTATTTAAATTTTTTTATTTTTTCATATTCGATCCGATTCGATATTATATAAATTATATTTAATTCGATTTAAAATTAATAAAATATTATTTTTAAAATATAAAATATTATTTTTTAAATATAAATATTTAAAAATATCATTATATAAATATATATATAAATAATAAATTAAATAATTAATTAAAAAATATTTTTTATATAATATCGCGTCGAATCGAGTCGGATCAAATTTATCTAAAATTCAAACCAGATCCGACTTTAACTATTTTATAATTTTACTTGATTCAATTCGACTTAAAATTTAAATTTAAAAAAAAAATCAATCTTATAAAATCAGATTGAATCAAAATTCATCGAATATGAATTAAATTATCGAAATTCGTCGGACACATATTAGATTACCGTCCCTGCAGACCCCACACTTGTCCTACATCTATCATGCTTTTTGCTCAATTACACATCATCCAATTCCACCCCCAACGGCTGTCGCTGGGCTGAAAGAGACTTCCAAAAGACCTTTATCTTTTACTGGTTAGGTTTTTTAATATTAAAAATCTTGTCTCTTTTCGGTTGCATTCTTTGGCAGAAAGAAAAATCCATCTCTTCTTTCGACAAATGGATTCGATCCCCTCAACACAGGATTTTTCAACTTTATTTTTTTATCTTCTCTAGCCTATTTTTTTCCGACAAAACTTGGATAAATTTATAAGTGAAGTTTGAAAAATATTTTATTAAAAACAAGTAAATAAAAATATTAATAAAAAATTTAAAGTAATAGATCGATCAAATTTGAAAATTAATAATTATTAAACATATTATTTTAAATTTAAATTTAATCAGTATTTATTTAATAATAGATATTTTATTAATATTTTTATTAAAAATATATTAAATATTTTTTAAATTTTATACGCTTAATTTATATAATAAAATATTATCATTTATTAATTATTAATTTATTTATTTTTAATAAGTAATTTTACCAATTTCATTTACGAAATTTCGTATAAATTTTTTTTATTTTTTTAATATACATCTCTTTTTTAGCACAAGAGGATGTAGCTTAAAAAAATTTATCGAGTTGAAATTTGACTTTTAAATTTATTAGATGTCATGCAGGGCTAATTATTAACTATAAAAAAATACAGTAACCACTTAAAAACAATGAAGTTAATTAAACATTAAATATAAAAAAAAATGACTGTAAAAGAAATAAACTAATAATTCTTCTTTCTGAAAACAACCTCAGTGTCAAGCCCAAATCCATCAACTTTCCTCACCTCAACCAGCTCTGAATCCTTAAACAACTCCACCAATGGCTCCACACTGTACAAATCATTGGCCGAGTATTTATCCGTCTGTTTCGATAACGTCACGTGTAGAACACAAACACCACCAGGCTTCAACGTCCGTTCGATCTCTCCGACAAACTTCCACGGGTACAAGGCGTGATCAAACACGTTGGAGAACTCAAAGTCAAATATTTGGTTCTCAAATGGCTGTGCATGGAAATCTCCTTTCATTACAAGTGGAGGGTATGGCACCAAATCTATTCCGACCGAGTCCGACACACCCACCAGTTTCATTGCCGCCACTTCTTGTCCGACTCTAGCTCCTATAGACAATGCCTTCGAATCGTTGAAAAGAAGGTTTCTTTGCTTCAGGCTTGCGAAGAAATGGACGAAGACCCTGACTTTTCTGTCCCAGTCGCGAGTCGTCCATATCTTTCGGAGTTTTGGGTTGAGGGTTTTGTTGAGCTGACGCTCGATGTATGCGTTGTAGGAAGAGTAACCTGGCCGGATACGGATGCCGGCGATGGCGTTGGAAGGTGGGTTTCTAGTGTTTTGAAGGGCGGTTTTGAGGCGGATACGAGGGAATTGGGTGGCTGAAAATGCTAGAAATAAAATGGAGAGAAAGAGAGAAAGGAGGAAAGGCTTAAGGAGGATAGAGAGTTTACATAAGAAGGAAGGATTCATTGTTTACATAAAGAAAAAGAATGAAAATGAAAGGATATAATTTGCCGTTGTGGTGAGATCAGAAGAAGATGAACAGAGTTTGTTTAGCTAAGGTTTGAGGGCAAAGAGATTTTTGTTTTGTTTTGGAATGTGGATGAGGTTTGGCAAGAAGAAACAAACATTAAGGATTGAGGGTTTTCAAATTTCTAACAAAAGCTGTGACAAAATTGACTTTACTTTTTCAGCCAATGACAGACGTCTCGAGATGGATAGAGAGACCTTTAGCAGTTCACGAGATTGCTTTGGCTACTGGCCTGGTCTGGCCTTTGGGTTAACTTCTCTTTTATAGGGCAGACTCAGACCTAAACGATAGAGCTAGTGATGAAACTAGCTAGCCACGTGAAATTTTGGTTGAAGAGAGACCATCGAAATTACTTAATTTTGTCATTTAACAAAAAAAAAAAAATCTTTCTTAATTTAAATTAGGCAATTATAAATTTTGTCATTGATTCTAACTGTACGACTTCTCGTTTGCTGATTAATGGTCGTAATAGATTTGTAAGCAAATCAAGACGTACCAAGAAAAAAAACTATTTTGTGAATAAAAAAATTTATTATATTGTAATTTATATAGCATATGCAATGAATACAGTAACTTATATTATGTAAAGTAATTTACTTACATTATACATTAACTTATATATAAGGCATCAGCATAACTTAAACACCCATACCTGAACCAAAATTAGGGTATAGTGGATCAAAGAGAACAGAATTTTCTTTGTAAGGAAATAAAAGATTTGCATATAAAGATAAAAAGGCATGGTCCTCCACATTTCCTTTATAATGTATTTTATACAGCTTTAAAACCTATTTAAGGAAAGTTAAGTACCTTCACCTTGAGAGCAATTTAATCTTGAATGAGAAATGAGGACAAGCCTGCACACAATCCGGACAAGGCCACAGTTTTAATCATGTTGGACTTGGCAGCATCAAGCAATGGATCTGACTGAAGTGCTTTATCAAAGCAGAACTTTGCTTCCTCCCACTGACCCTCAGCCACAAATACAAGACCAAGATTATTAAATGCAGGAGCATAGCCGGGCTGGAGTTCAAGTGACTTCGTGAACATAGCTTTGGCACGTTCATATTGCTTTTGCTGTCGATAGAGATTTCCAAGGTTGGAAAATATTGCATGTGCTTGTTCCACTGTTGCCAATGAAAGGGCCCGCTTGTATACACATTCAGCTTGTGATGGCTCCTCCGATAATTGGAGTGAGATACCTGGCAATATATGCTTACAACTGAATATTCAATCTTCAACTATATTTTTCAGAGAATGATTAACGGAATTATGTACCTAAGTTTGACCAGGAGTAGCTGCTGCATTCTTTGAATCGAACAACCGCAGCCTTGAGGTACTTCTGCGCTGTTTTAAAATGTTGAGAACAGAGACTATGAAGGCCTAGCTGATTCCACTGCACAGCATCATCTGGGTCTTCAGTTGTTGCCTGGTTAATGCAGGCAGGATTGAAATGAAAATATCAATAGATAAAATACATTTCTCAACAGTAAATCTAGCCAAAAGATGCCAAGAAAAAAAAAAAGAATTATATATGCTACTACATTTCTTCTATTAACATTTTCAATTTCTTGTGGAGAAAAGATCATGATCCTTTGTATCATGTACACTATAGTCTGCTCTCTTAAAAATACTCTTACCGTCTCATGCAAATCTTATTAACACAATTCTCATAAAGATCCAGATTAAGACTTCTGTTACATCTTTTAAATGGGAATATAGGTAAGAAATATTCAGGCAACATGAAAACATCATTGAACTACTTGTCCTATGGATAACAAACTGAATAAAAGACAGCTTAGAAGTTAGAACCATCAGACATAAAGAAACCCATGTTAACCGCTTTTTTTTTTTTTTTTGAAAGTTAACTATTAAATTTGTACAAAAGCTAAACTGACAAAACTGTTACCTGCTTTAAACTGAAGATAGCACGCTCTTCAACCTCCACTAACTCAGTTTGTTCTGTCTCAAAGGCTGCCACAATCTCGTGTTGGGCCTTGTGAACCATGGCAAGTCCTGCCCATGCAACGGGAGGCTCAATTGGCACAGCATCTCCTTCTCTTAGCACTGATGCCATTTCGTTGCCTGCCCAAGAAAGCTGTTGTTGTTCGCTAGGATCTTGATACCTTTCAACATCCTTGATTCGATGGACTGCAACAGCATATCGAGTGGACATGCAATTTGGTTCAAGTTTTGCAGCCTGGTTAATAATAAACAAAAGCAAGAATAAACTAAAACATGTTGAATATCACAAAAAGCATGCATGAGTATATCAGAAGTTAAAGGACACCAATGTACAACCTCAAAAAAAAAAGAAGCTATAAAGGACTATATCAATAAGCCATTAGCACCTTCTCCAAACACTTGCTGGAACTACGGTGGTCACCGACCAAATAATATGCATTAGCTAGATTCGCCCATGTATGTGCTGCTTTCGGATCAGATTTTAGTGCAGCTAACAAACACTCCTTTGCAACATTGACAGCTGCAACCTGATCCCCAGAAGCTCCTTCACTGGCATTTGCCCCAGCACCTGAGAAGAGAAAAGGATGAGCTCAGACTACTTTCTTTTAACATGTCTAGATCGTTTATAATTTACAATCAAAAGCAATTACATGACTAATTGTTCCAAACAACAATATGAGTAACAAGTTAAAAGACTTGGGAAACAGGAATTCGAACTCATCAAAAGCTCACCTGCAACAACTGAACCATATTTACACAGAAGAATTGCGGCATAGTTCATTAAAGCTGCTGGATGGTTTTGATCTTTAACAATCAAATCTTGAAAATATCTAGCTGAAAGCTCCAAGTTTCCACTGGAAACATAGACCGTCTGAGTTAGAATGTAGACAACAACATACAATGAAACATAACCATATTAATGAATCAATGAATACATGACTCAAAGGCAGATTCATAATATCACTGCAAAACAATAGAAGCAAATATTCAGGCCAGGATGGTCATAAGTCATGGCTCATGGTTCTTCATGTGACAGCTGCAAGCTACAAATTTAATGAACATATCAAGTATAAACTCATTTGCAGGTATATCCACAACTAATTGAACACCTGAAGTGAGTAGAAACATGCTCACACGAAGCACACGTTGGAGACATGAAGCTTTTCTTTTCCCAATTGAATTTAATACTTGCTAAGAACATTGACATAACCAAAGTGAATAATGACAACTAGAGAAAGGCTAGCCATCTAAAATTAATTCACAGACAATTGTAGCCAATATGCAGGACAAATGAAAGGAAACAAAAGGGAAAAACCAGAAAACGATAGAAAAAGCATAGAATCACAAGCATTTAACAATCCAATCATATAGTTATCAGATTCATATATGCCACATCATTAATATTTTTAAGTAATACACCCTATTTAAATTCTTATAGAGTCCATATTTGATTTTCTTAGTAAAAGACTGCTCAAACTCCAATCCTCACTTCAGCATTTGGTTATTGCTTTTCATTTATCAATTCTACAAGGCATTATAGCACAATTTTGAAATAAAAAACAAAAGCCTTAAGCAGACATACATATCAACTAGGACAATCTTACCTTTGGAGGTAAGCGATCCCAAGGTTTCCCAGGCAATCATAGTTGTCAGGGGCAAGAGCCAATAAAGCTGATAAAAGTGCAATAGCACTCTACATCAGAATTAAACTCCATATCAGATCAAGTAATGAGATAAATACTATTCAAACTAATGATAATTTCATAGTGATACCTGCAGACGACCAGTTTTGAGAAGTATCAAGCCCAGGGTATTCCATACACCTGCTTGTCTAATATCTGACTGCAATGACTCCTTCAATTTGAAAAGGATCTCCTCGAGCTCTTCATGCTCAAGCTCTTCATCAAAACCATTATCTCCTGAATTCTCTTGGAGAATACACTGCATATTGAACCATGCTAGATTAGAAACCATATAAATCTATACTGATATTCACTCTATCATACTGAACTGAGTTCAAAGAAAAAAAAATGTCTAAGTGCACCTGCGCATGGTGGATTTGAACTAATGAAAGCAACTCAGGCCGTGCAATCTCTGCCTCACAGCGGAGCAATATCTCGGCTGCCTTCTCATATACTGAAATTGCCTTTGAAAAGAGAAAAACCAGTATTGATTGTAATTGGCATACTTTATATTCACCAAACTATGGAGTAAGATAAATTCCAAACCTTTTGAGGTTGACCCAGCCTTTGATACATAAGACCAAGAATGAAATGAGCATGAGCATTTTTTGGCATCTTCCTTGCAACATGTACCAAGCCCTAAAAGAACATATAAAGATTGTCAAGTAATGAAGAAAGCATCTGCAGTATGTCAGTTTAAAGATTGTAAAGATATCCATAGAATGATCCAAACCCATCCTTCTCCACCCCACCCCCGCCCCCCCAAAAAAAGCCATGAAACATAAATAGTAGCATAAAAAGGGGAAATTATTCCACATCCCATTGAATCAAGGAAAAGTGAAGAAGAGGCTATATCAATTCAGTTAGAAGCAGAACCAATCTTATAAAAAAAGGAGTAGAAATAGAAAGAACAAAGGAAACTAGTCCTTCATTTGAAAAAAAACTCATGGAATTAATGCTCTCTCTCCTACCCCACTACCATTACTGGGTTTCGGATGGCATAAAACATTCAAGAGATGATACTGCACATTCAATTTGATGTCCAAACTATAGCACCAAACTTAAAGATGCAAAAGGAAAAGAAAGAAGTGATGGGACTAACAGTTTTGAGGCTGCTGACTTTTTCCTCACGAGATGAGGAAGTCCCTTGACTAGGCTGATCCCCATCAACATCAGCTCCACAATCGGGCAAAGATTCTGCCTTACTAATTCTTGAACGGCATTTCTTGTTTAACTTTTTACCTTCTCCTTCTACAGCATCACTCTCTTTGGAAATTAAGGTACTTTTCTCTTGACTGATTTCATCACTAGTTAACCTACATCATGTAAATTGTAATGTTCAAATCAACTACTTCACTCAAGGACAAAATAAAGAATTTTTTAAGGATATAGTAAAGCTGTTAAAGTAAGAATTTTCTGAAGCAGTTTAACTCCCAAGCTTCATCAGGCAAAACTGCTCTTAGTTCTGAAACTTAACATTTTATTTCCGAAACATTGATAAATTGGAAACCTGGGAAAGCTCTATGACTGCCATGACTCATCCTTTATAAATGTTCTCTTTCATTTTTCTTTCTATAATGTTCTCTTTCATTTTTCTTTCTATCATAAAATAATTACACACAAGTGGGGCAAGACGACGTAAAATTGGCACAAAATATAAGATGAATCGAAGCAAAGGCAGAAATTTAACCTGGTAAGGTCGGGAGCAGGGAGAAGGAGAGAATCATGATCCTCGGTTTCAGGAGGGTTGACGTTAAGGTCAGCTAAAACCACGATTTTGGGAGGCGGAGGAAGAGGCGTCTTGGAGCTCTCTACCCCTACGGTATCCATTTCTGGTTTTATGGAAACTTGGTGCGCTTCCAACATTTTCTGTTCCATTTAGTTGCAATCGCCGAGCAGCAGTTAAGTAAACAGAGCAGGTGAGAATCTTTAAGCCTAGAAAGTATAGAAGAAGAACGATGGTCGACGATGGTAGCCCG